TTGGCCAGTTTTAGTGTTAAGGAAATCTTTGATTAACCTGCTGCCTGAAATATGTAGGATCCAAAGACAAGCCAAGAAAGAATATCAATTAGTTCAAGCCTCTTAATGAATAAGGGAAGAACATACATCTCTTATCAAAACTATATCCTATGAAAAATAAGGGAGACTTCAGTCATTTGTATCTGTTGAAATGTAACAGGCTATAACAATAATTAATAAGAGATCTCTATAGTCACAAAATCAGTGGCTATAAAAGAGGACAGCTATTGCAGAGACTGGTGATTAGAATTAGTGTCACGTTGGGAACTGTAGAAATGGACTAGAAATTTGGGAGAAATAATTCAGAAAATAACAATCAAGAAAAACTTCTATAGACTAGCTTGCAAGAGTGATTAAAAATAAAGCAATGGAAGGTTCAATTATGTGATACCATTTAATTACCTGAATATCAAGAACATGACCAAAGAATTGCATCAACTAAGTTTTAACTAGATTGTGGAGGACTCAAACATGGTAGGAATTATCAATGGTACTCACAATAATCAAGTAATAAATAAACCTCATTAAGGAACACATAATACAAACCCCTTGAATATTAATAATAAAAAGTCTATAGTGGTTTTTGACATACTATAGTCCCAGGTAGAGCAAGGAAACTAATGAAAATAATATCACTATATGGTAAAATTGATGAACTGGATTAGAATAGGTAGTTTAATAAGGTTATATGAATTGCTCATGTAATCCAAAAATGTACTACTGAAACCTCAATAAAGATTCATCCTGTTAGTTGAACTAGTTAAAAAAAAAATTTATAAATTTAATTGCAGACATTACATATTCCTATTATTTGATATTACAAGTATTTTAGAACTCTATTTTAAAGGATCCATCAGATAACTTATTGCCTAAAAGTATTCAGTTGGATTAAAATTCTATTATTACAGTACTTATTTTATTTAGAAAATCTAAATTCCCCTATTTTTAGATCTTCATTTCTTTTGAATTTCTTCTAATCAAATTGTCAAGATTTGACTTACTAGTTTCTTAAAAGGATAAATATACTTTTCAAATAATTTTTGATAAACATAATGCAGTTATTAGTTTTATACCTTTTTTGAATTGTGTTTGGCTATATTAATTGTACTTTTTACTAAAGAAAAAAATTCATTTAGAATTGAAAATAGAAAAACCTTATTTGTATAAAATTGAAATAGAAATTATTGATATTTTTAGCATATACTTGATTGTATTTTACATTATAGATAGTTTTTTTATTTCATAAATTTTTACATAATTTTTACATAGTATTAAACTATGGACATTATAATTGTAACCTAGAAGTACTATTACTGTGTTACAAGTCTATAGGTCTTTGTTAAAGAAAATATATTCTATTGATAATATATATTTAGAAAAAATTATTAAAAGATAAATATTTAAGAATAAAAAAATTAATTTTTTAATTTTTTTGAAATAATTTATTATAATAATCTATAAATACAAAACTTATTAGTTAAAGAATAATTAAAATTATAAAAAAATCAAAATATTAAAAAATACCTATTTTTGTAATTCTCTGATTATATATAAAAAAATATTCTTAAGAGGTTTTATACTTTTTTTACTAATAAAGTCTTAATACTTTCATTAAAATATCTTGAAGTATAATTTCAAAAGATATTTTTATACTTTTCTTTTTGTTTATAAATCTCTTTACTCAAAAACTTGATTTTTAGTAAGCAAGAAAAACCTTTATACCAATGGCAAGAAAGTTCCCAAAGAATAAAAAACTAACTATAAAGTATTTAAAAGTCTTTTTAACTTTTGAAGTGAAAGGTTTATAGAGATTTTTTATAATAAAAAGGCTTATTTTCTTTCTTTTTAATTATTTTGGTCCTCTTAGAACTTTCACTTTTACAGCTTTTTGAAAAATTTTATCTAGTTCAGTTTGACTCTAAATTTTGAATAGTATAAATTCTTACCAAAGGTGATTGACTAACATGAAATATATTAGTTTTTGAAATATAAACAAGCTCTTATTGATCATACTTATATATTCTAATGATATTATTAGTGATTGGAAAGAAAAGTTATAAAAGAGGTACCCTTCAACTAAGAAGTTTTCAAGAAAAACAGTTATAATATCAAAAAACAAGTAAAATATATAAAGTATAGTATCCTTATCTCTTAATCAAGTCTCTCAAATAATAAGAAAGCTTTTCTAAAAAGAAAACTAAGGTCTTCAAGCTTCTATTCCAGTTAAACAAAGTTTCTATAGAGGTTTTTTTATTCTAGTCAGGCTAACTCTACTATATTATGGCACTGGTATTAAGAATATAATAAGTAAATTCATATATCAGTAAAAAGATAAGTTTCTCAAATATTCTTCTTGAAATCTCAATATTTAAAAATAGCTAAGTTTTTCTGATAGTCTGAAGTTTAGAGAATATTTCAATCAAGCAAATCTCTTTTGAGAGAAAACTGTTTATTTGAATAAGAATCTTTTAAAGAGGTTTGAATTATTTCTCTTTTTTTCTTTTTCCTTTTTCTAGTATATCATTCAATAATTTATTGGTTTTTGAGATAATCTATAGTAACAAACTGTAAATAATGATTCTAATAGATAAAAATTATATCAATTTATCAAGAGAGTATAATATTATTCCCTAAATCTGACTTAGAATGCTTAATTTAAACTTTATTTTGTTTAGTTCAAACTAGTTTAGTAAACTCCATATATTTTTTAAGAAGTATAGTCTTTTAACTAATAATATACAAAGATAAGTTAATCATTATATGAATAGTCTATATAATATTATAGATGTTTTTTAATATCTCAATAAAGACATACTATGATAGCATAATTGTAAACTAAAAAAAAAAAAAAAAAAAAAAAAAAAAGCATAATATTATTTTCTAAAAAAAATTAATTTTGATAATAAATAAGTTAGTTGATATATAAAAATTTTTTAAATATATAATAAAAGATAAACCATATTAACTTGACAGTAGTAAAAAAAAAATAAAATAAGTTTATAAGTATTTTATTTTTATTTATAAATTAAATTTATATTTCAAGTTCATAAAAACAATAAAAACTAATTAACAAATCTTCAAATAATAAAAATTTTTTATTTTTATTATTTCAATTAAACAAAATTTTTTAAAATAACTTTTCTTTTATTTTAATTAAACTATAATAAATAAGTCCTTTAAATTAATATTATATAGTAAATTCTTTTCACTAATTCTCTGACCACATATAAAAAAGATATTTGCAAGAAGTTTTTATACTTCCTTGCTAATAAAGTCTTAACACTTTTCTTAAAACAATTTGAAATATTACTTCAAAAGTCATTACTGCCCTTCTCTTATTATTTACAAATCTCTTTACTCAAACCTTGACTTCTAGTGACCAAGAAAAGTCAAGTAATACCTTTAATATTAATAACAAGAAAGTTTCCAAAAAAAGAAAAACTGACTGTAAAGTATCTTAAAACCTATCTAATCTTTGAAGCAAGAGATTTATAGAAATTTTTTATAGTAAAAAGGTTTATTTTCTCCTTTTTTGATTGTCTTAATTCTTTTAAAGTTTCTACTTTTATAGTTTTTTGAGAAATTTTGCCTACCTTAGTTTGATACTAAATTTTGAATAACATGAATTCTCATCAAAGATAATTGATTAACATGAAACATATTAGTTTTTGAAATGTAAACAAGTTCTTATTGATTACACTTACATGTCTTATTATATTATTGGTGATGTAGAAAAGAAAGTTTTAGAAAAGTGTTTTCTCTAACTGTATATATTTAACTTTCAAAAAATAATTATGATATCAAAAAGCAAGCAAAAAGTAGACAAACAGATTTGACTCCCATCTCCTATTAAGTTCCTCAAGTAATAAAAAGGTTTTTTTGAACAAAAGCTAAAGTCTTCAAGCTTCTATTCCGGTTAAGCAAAGTTCTTGAAAAGATTTCTTTATCTTAGTCAAGTAAACTTTTTTGTAATATGGCACTGGCTTCAGTAGTGATAAGTGGATTTGTATATTAACAGAAGAATAGGTTTTTTAAATATTCTTCTTGAAGTCACTTTTAGGAATGATTAAGTTTCCCAAACATCATGAAACTTAAAGGATATTCCAATCAGGTAAACTTCTTTTGAGAGGAAACTATAAAATAGAACAAAAATCTTTTGAAGAACTTTAAATTATATTTTCTTTTTTCTCTTTTTCCAATGCTATACTTTAACAATTCATCATTTTTTAGAATAATTAATAGTAACATACTATTGACAATGATCTTGGTTGACTTAGAGGTACTATGTCAAATTACTAAGAGAACATAATATTGTTTTCTAAATCTGACTTAGAGTACCTAGTTTAGACTTAATTTTGTTTAATCTAAACTAGTTTAATGAATTCCTTATATTTTAAGTAGTATAATCCTTTAACTAATAATGTATAATGATAAATTAGTCACTTTATGAAAAGTCTGTAAAATATTTTGATATCTCTCAGTATCTCAATAAAGACATGCCAAAGTGACATAATTGCAAGTTAAAAAATATATATATATATAAATCCTTTAAATTAATATAATATAAAAATTCCTGATAGACAAACTCTGTAAATAGTATAGATAAATTCGATAAATAAGTTTTTTAAATAGGTAAAAAAAAAAAAAACCTTAAAATCAAAATTTAGAAATAATTCAATTCACATTGCTACATACTAAAAACATTTTTCACTTAGAGTTCACATAATAACAATTCAGAAAATAAATGTTTCAATATGCTAAAAATCATTCTTACAATAAGTCGAAAAATAGACTAACAAATTTACAGGCGAATTTTATTTGTAATATTAAGCAGAAAATTTTTCAAGTATTACACATACTACATATTACATATTGTAAATATACGCATACTGAAAGAAAATCAACCGGAAATTTATCGAAGCATTACTAAAAATTAATCGCATCTCTTCCACAAGCGAAGTTTAAGATTCACGACCCGTATCGACGAAGTCTCGAGTCAAGTCACGAGCCTTATCAAGAGGCAAGGCCGTCATCCCCGCTGCGTTTTTAATCATAAAAAGTGAATATATTTATATAACAAGTTTTTAATGCACATCGGGAGAAAAAAAAAAACTTACCAGCAGTTTCCGCTGGAGGCTAAATGCACAAAAAGAACAAATTTTAATAAAATTAAAGAGAAAAAAGGTTAAAGCACTGCACCAATATAAACTCACCTTATCAGGTGCACCGGGATGAGGACTAATATTTAAAAAAAGATTTTTTTGTTAATATCGGTAACAAAAAAAAATAACACTAAATCGAGTAACTTACTGGGTAGGGGCCATCTTACGCGTAGAAACGAATTTTTCGCCAGCCTCGTTGAGGACATTAGCAGCGACGGCTTCTTTAAATTTGGGAAAAATGGAGGTCTCCTCTTCTTTAATGTGAGATTGAAGTTCCTATTTTCCGGTTATTAATGATCAAGAAATCGAATTTGCAAAGAGAATGTTAAAAGGCGCAATAATATTCAAGTATCTAAGGTTTAGGTAATACCTTCATGGTTTTTTCGACGAGTTCATTGTAGCCTTCATCAGTGACATTCATTTTATCCAATTTGACTAGATCCTCTTTGACCTGGAGATGTTCCTTACGAGAATGATCGGCTACTTCTTTCCCACTGGGAAGATGTTTCTCGAGTAATGGATAAAAAACAACTTCTTCGCAAACAGAATGTGAAGAGACTGACATGAAGGAATAGAAAATAAAGAAATGAGTGAATTTGAATTATTTGAGTCAACGAATAAAATCATATTACGAAAGAAATAGCAATTTCATATTCTCGATAAACTTACTTTCGCGAATCATAGTATTTGCAATTTTCTGACGCTCTTTATCATCTTTTTCGGATTTGTAACGCGACCAAAGGTCTCCGATAACACGGTGGTCATCAAGTATTTCAGCAATCACGTCTTTAGCCATTGGTTTTTTTCTTGATAATATGTAGTTTCTTGATAATATGTAGTTTCTTGATAGTATGAAGTTTCTTGATAATTTGTAATTTGCAGGTCGAGACAAACGAACAAACATGATCTCGGGAATTGATATTTATATAAATAAAATTATTGAAATTACGTATTTGGATGAAGTAAAATTTACCAAAGAATTATATAGCATTATTTTGTAATGAGGAGCATTACAGGTCATCAATGATGTAAGATTTTTCGAATTAGTTGTAAGATCTAAATTTGTTTTACTCCTCATCGTTCTATTATCATTACAATAAAGTGACGTTTCGCTTCGTCATTAACAAACTAGAGCGACTTATTTAGTTTATAGTTTTCAATTTTAAGCCGATGAGTTTATGTCCGCCGAAATTGCGGAATATGAAATACGTGTGAAAAATATTTTGATCCAGTTGAAATTTGAATGGTCGGCATGATGCGATTTATTAAGAGCATATACAGTATGTCACAGATTTTCTTAAGTATTTCAAAAGAAATAATAAGTTATCCTGTTTCTTGAGGGGGAAACAGTCAATTGGTGATTCGCCTGCAATATTTTTCTTTTGTATAAAGTAGTTTATTAGCATAATAAATACTTTATACAGTATATTACTAATTATATTTAATAGATTATTGCAAAAAAAAAATAATAATAATAAATTATTTGATTATTTATCCATTTTTATTTTTTTTAATCCACAACATGCCATCTGACTTATCTTTATTGAAATTTTATATAACTAATTACAATATTACAGATTTTATAAAAGTGATCAACTCATTATTGTATCTAATCTTTTTTTGAAAAAAATTACTTGATTTGAATATCCTTTTTATATCAAATTAAATTTTAGAAGAAATCTTTTTTGATATTATCTGTAATATCTGAACAATCAATTCAATAGGTTTATTATTAAAGCAGATATTTGATTGAGATAGTTCAAGAGAAATAGGAAGACCTTAGCTTTATTTAATAAAACTTTTTTACTATTTGAAAAATTTAATAAAACTTATTTCTTACTAATCAAATTATGTTATTGAGCAGTTAAATTATTATTAAATTTGATTAATTTAATAATAAAAATATTGATGAATTATTTTTGATTAATATTATTTGATATTAAAAATATTGATGAAAAATCAATAAATAAATTATAATATATTGTGATAAAAAAATTCAATACAAAATTTGACAAAAATTTCATAATATCATGGAAAATTTTGATATATTGTATAAAAAATTTGTATATTATAGTAAAAAAACAAATTTGTATACTATAGCAAAAAATTTATCAAATAATTGAATATTATAGTAAAAAATTTGATAAAAAATTGCTATATAACAAAAAATTCAATAAAAAATTATATATTGTAACAAAAAATTTGACAAAAATTACAAATTCAATATTAAAATTTAATAAGTATTTAGAAAGTTTAATAAATTTTATGAAATTTATTAAAAATTACAAAAAAATTACAAAACCAATTAACTAAACAATTTATTATTATTTTTTTTATTTCTTTTTATTTTTTATCTTTTTTACTTATTTTTTTTTTTTTAAGATTTTAACTTGTTTTTTATAAAATTAGTTTTAATTGATTTTATCATATCAAATTTTTTAAAAGTTTTTTTTTATTTTTTTCTTCTAACTTCTTAA